GAGGTGGTTTTCAGAACGCAAGTTCTGTGCTTCTGCAGCTCGGTGCCGCTGCTCTCCCAGAGCTACAGTAACTTGTGCTCATAACCAATGCTGAGGCACAGCTGCCTTTAACTTCGATGGTAGCTCGTTCGTCTTCAGCCGATGTGCTCTTAGAGTAAAAATCTTCTGACAATTTGCCCATAACCTTGGTGTCATGGGTCAGAAATCTTTGGCCTGTCTGAGTTCTATCAGTTTTCATTCAATTCGCCTTCGTTAAGTCATTCGAGAGACCCAAATCAGAACAGCTCTGTTTCAGAGTTAGGGGCAACGATGTTGCAGGTTCGAATTTGCCTCCGAGTAATAGAATATCCCTCGCAAATGAAAGGGACTTTACGTAGGTGTTGCCTACTTTTGTGATCGTTGTTTCACTCAATTGTAATGGTCCTTAGTCACTTTTCATACGGACCCACTAGGTATTTAGGATCAAAAGCGGTTAGTTGTTAAATCAGGTCTTGGAGCAGTTATTCGTCATTTTGCATGTCATCATTTTCTAGGAGTATAGAACTTTAAAGAATTCAACATATGTATTTCGATGGTTCTACTTTTAGCAGGTACCTTATTGAAGAGATGAGGAAAAAACTGCCAAACGTCAATCATCAAAAGAAACAAAAATTTCAAACGTTTAACGTTACTTCATTTCTAATCACGATCTTAATATATACTGGTTTGAGTGACAGGTGTTCTCAATCTAACAAACCGGTTGATAAAATTCCTGAACATGATGAGCGCTATTTGCATCATGGTCCATCACACATTAGTTTGCAGAATAATAGCGAGCACGTCATATTCAATAATTCAATGAAATAGCATAGATTATATGTAGATAACATTGTTAAACTGAAAAGCTAGCAATCATTAACTTAAATACGCATCAAAATGCACAATAGTAAAATTGATTGATACAAAAATCTAACCGTTGTTCATGATAGTTGTCAGAGCAACGATGTTCGTGCCTTCCTTCATCGTTATGAAACCATATTCGGAATGCAATGATTTGCGATCGTTGACGCTCCATGCAAAGCTGCTAAAAGAAGGACAAACCACATTTCTCAGACTGCCATTAATAGAGAAATATCAATAACTTTCTCATACTCTGATATGATCATTCTTTTGTTTATAATACACCAAAACCAACAAAGAAATGCGCTCCGATAACTGATCTATTATCATGGTCATAAAATCAATGGTACGGGTTTGAGAGGTACTAACACGACGTCCCAACCCTGTCCACCTTGACGAAGTCCAGCGAGGCACGAGCCGAAGCGCCGGTGCTGGTGGCTGACCGATTGGTCAAACTGTTTGCATAATATATGGATAAATCATGTTTTTATACAGCTTTCAGTATGATCACGAATGAAACACCCAATCTTCGGCAATATGGAAGAAATGGACTTAAGCTGAGTTCAAGGGAAAAACTAATTTCAAGCGATAATGACGTGTAGCAGACAAGAAATGACTGCACAAAATGTGTTCACTCAGTCATATTGTCATTAATTGTTCCTTCCATTCTTTCGTTCGTCCATTCATGCTTTCCTTCATTCATTCATGTATTCGTTTGTTCACTTTTAGAGTACGCAAGTTCGTACTCTCACTTCGTGGACGCATGACAATGGCAGCTATTTTCGCACAACCTTCTCGGTCAGCCGCCCTGAATTCCTAGGCGTGGCAATGCCAAGTATTCCATATAATCGAACGATTTCTTCTGTGACCCTCCCCCTGGCCGTCATCAAAGTGATTTTTCAAGAAAGACTCTTTCGCGAGTTTCTCATCTTGCTCATAATTGGCATCAAGATATTTGCTTTCAAATCTTTTCATTCTATGGCTTTTACTTTTTGTTGACATAGGGAGAAGCATGTTATTCGTCTACTGACGACGTCAATCGATATTGAAAAGAAAATACTGTTTTACTCGAATTCGTTTATTTATTATGTGGGGTACCCTGCAGTCAGAGACACCAGGAAAGGCGAAGCAAAGTTGCAAGGACATCCACTGGCATTTGTGCAAGCGAGCCAACTTGCCTGTGGAAAACCAGTGGCGGAAGACTCGGCCAAAAAGTGAAAGCCATTAAGAAGCTGTGGGACTTTCGATACGAACCGAGAAAAGAGTGTTGGCTCATTTTCCGGATATCGTCCTGGTACACAGAGCAAAAGACAGACATAAATCCCTGATAAGGCACGCCTGACTAACGGCAACGTTGTTGTAATTGGTCAAGAAAAGTATGATGGAAAATCAACAAGTGAAAATATATGAGATCGGGAGAGTGAAGGCGGAATTCTTTCACCGTAGAGGTGCAAAAATAAGTCAACTGATGAACTGATCAAGTACAAGAACTGCCGTAGGTGACGCGACCTCTAAGAACAGCAAGGATGTTCAGACGAGTACAGTATGCTCACTAACTACTGGTAGAAGTTTTGCGCTGAAGTCATTTTCAC